TTTTTTTTTTTTGGTACCCTTTAAATATATTCCGTTTATTTTATGTCAGTTATACTTCAATAGGGAGCTCTGGTACTGTAGTGCCTAAGGCATTTGACTGCAAACCAGAAGGCTGGCAGTTCAAACCCACCAGTAACTCCTAGGAAGGAAGACTGGGCAATCTACTTCTGTAGAGATACTGCCTCAGAAACCCAAGGAAGGGTTGTTACAAGTCAAATCGACCTGACAGCAGTGAGTTCGTTTTTTTCATACCTCAATGAAGCTTTATAATATAAATGTGTGTTTAAAACTATTAAGAATAGCATAACAATATTGAAGTTAGTCTTGCCCCTAAAGATCTTTCGGCCAAAATAAATGCTTTAGTTGTAAATTAAAATCAAAGCAAGCATATTTCCTCACCTCATTAACAATGGCATCAGACACCACCCCCTGGGATGACTGTAGCCAGAGCAGGATTAGAGCATCACAAAGTTCAAAGAAAGCAGCAAGGTTCACCACAATTTCATGGGGCAGGCTGTGGTAGCTCTCTGGATCTTTGAGTTGACATAAATAAAATAAAAATATTCTATCAGGTTTAATTAATCTCTGGGCATTTTCTAAATAAGCTAACATAATGTTAGTCCCAATATAAAGGTCAATTTCTATTTTGTTTGAAATAACAAAATCAAAAGTAAATGTTTTCCTGATTATTAAACTTAACAGGTAGGGCAAGTGTATCTACAGAAGTTCATAATGTCTTAATGAAAAACACAAATTAGAGCAACAATACATATTTTATTCAAATATTTCTTTAAATACGAAGGAAAAACTAAGTGTATTTATATGTTTGGATGGATGAATAGGTAACATAGAAACAAAACATGAGAAAATAGGAACAAAACTACTATTAACAATAGTTGCTCCCAAGAATGGACTTTCTCCATCTTTTTTATTTCTACATAGCTTAACGTTTTCACATCAAGCACAATTATCTTTTTTAATTTAAAAAAATAAAGAAAGGATGGAAAAAGAATAAAATCAAATGCTTATGAATGTGTACTTTTTGAGCCAGCAAATCTAGGTGAGAGTTCTTGGTTCTGCTACTTGCAAGGGACATGACCTTGACCCTCTGTTCCTCCCTTTCCTCATTCGTAAGATGGGGGCAATATTCCCCACCTTCAAGAGTTGCTATGATTAGGGATATGGAAAAAATGACCACTAACTTTATATGGAAAGGAAAGAGACCTCGGATAAGCAAAGCACTACTGAAGAAGAAAAACAAAGTAGGAGGCCTCACATTGCCGGATCTCAAAACCTACTATACAGCCACAGTAGTCAAAACTGCCTGGTATTGGTTCAATGACAGATACATAGACCAAT